GGGACACCAGGGACCCCTCAGCCGCTTGGGGACGGAGGCATGGGGGGTCCCTGGCCCAGGTGGTGCTTTGATGGAGCTCAGAGTGCTGCGGTGCAGCTCCTGGGATGGTACCTGCAGCTTCCAGATGTGCTTGCTCTCCTTGGAGACTTGGCCCACGGTCTCCCCCATGAGGGCAATGAGCATGTTGAGGAGGAGCACGAAGGTGAGGATGATGTAGGTGACAAGGAGGATGATGAAGACGCCGGGGTACTTGGCACTCTCGAGCATCTCCAGGTCGCCCATGCCGATGGTGAGCTTGAAGAGGTCGAGCAGGAAGGTGCTGAAGGTCTGGCTGTCCCGGCAGGAGGGGTAGGTGGGCACCGTGCAGTTGGAGTGCTCCTCGCCGCACGACTCGCTGCTGGGACACGGGTTGAGGAGGGACACCAGAGCTGGGGGAGAAGGGACAGGGATGGCGAGTCTGGGGGGGCAGCGGCAAGAACGGGGTCCACAACGGGCCCCCACGCTGGGCAAGTCCCTCTCCACCCCAGGAGGAGGGGGTAGGATGGAGCGCGGGCTCTGCAGCCCCCTACCCGGCTGTGCCACGCGGCGCCGCAGGTCTCATCCTTCCCCCCTCCGGCCCCGGCTCACCGACCCGGCACCTACCTGAGGCGTAGCCGATCATGAAGAGCAAGTAGACCAGGAGGAAGCGGAAAAGGTCTTTGAAGAGGATCTGCGAGTGATGGAGAGCGGGGTGAGACGTGCTGGACCGCAACGCCCAGCTGCGTGCCAGCCAAGCCGCGTCGTCAGGACGGCCGGGCTGGGAGCAGGGCATCGCTGAGCCACAAGAAACCCTAAAGAAAGCACGGGGGACCCTCCTTTTGGACCACACATCTCTGCTGGGGAAGGAGAAGACCCCCCCGACCCCACCAGACCTTCTGGATCATGATGCTGTAGGTCCCCGTCAGCTTGAGCCCCCGGGTGAAGTACAGCGCGTTCATCCAGCCCAGGACCAGCGCGAAGACCATGACGGCCAGGTACGCCTCGATGCCGCCCAGGTACAGCCCCGCCGTGATGATCACCAGCACCGAGTAGATGAAGCTGGAGGAGAGCCGGGGTCAGCCCCTGCACCGACAGCCACCACCGGCTGCTGCCCCCTGCAAGCGCGGGGGTGCTGTGGCTCGGGGAGACTCCAGGGGTTCCCCACGTACTAGAGGAGCTGGAAGGAGCCGTCGATGAAGAAGGAGTTCACGCCTGGGCACTTCTTCATGAACAGATCTTTGATCTGGAGGAGAGAGGGAGAGGTTGGGAGGCATTGGGGGAGCAAACCCCTGCTTGGCAGGGTCCCGGGGAGGCATTGGGGCAGGGGATGATGCCTTGGGACATGGGGCTGTCGCCCTCGAGTCGCTCCTTGCGTGGAGACCACGAGGGCTTGGCCATCCCCCGGGAGGTCCCCCTGCCTCACTGCACTGACGTTTGTGAAGAAGAAGAGGACGCCGGTGAGAAGGGTGATGATCTCCCCGGCCAGACGCAGGTAGTCGACAGTGGTGGTGTATGGGTAGGGGGGCTGCAGGGAAAGGACAGAGCTGAGCTGCTCCACTATCCCCAGGCTGGCAGGACTGCTGCTTGGGACAGAGACCTGGCAAACCCCCGCCCTGCCAGGAGGCGCTGGCCCGTGGGGTTGTGCCACGGTGCTGTGGGACTCACGGGGCCTTCCATGGGGCGGTAGTAGGCGACGAGGGTGAAGATGACCATGGCGCAGAGGTAGGAGATCACGCTGATGTAGAAGGAGACGGCCCCGAACTTGCGCCACTTGTCACGCAGCAGCTCATTGATGGGCTCCACGGCCAACATCTCGTGGCGGTTCTGGTGGGACAGGGGCGCTGTCAGTGGGGACCCAGCCCCACGGCCCCTCCCGGTGTGTCCGTCCCCCCGCTGTGTCCCCTGCGCACCTCGATCTTGCTGTTGTAGACGAGGATCTCCAGCACGGACACCTCCTCCCCGCAGGTGTCCAGCGAGGAGAGGTCATAGAGGGAGGAGTAGACGGGGCCGTACGCCCAGTCCTTGAACTTCCGCGAGAGGTGCCGGGCGTCCTCGTCCACGATCTCCCGCCGGATGATGTGCTGGAAGATCTGCCGGAGGCAGGACCGCTCGCCCCTGGGCAGACCCGCACCCAGCCCCTGCCGGCTTGGGGCACCCCGCTCCCCTCCCACAGCGAGGAGAGGTCATAGAGGGAGGAGTAGACGGGGCCGTACGCCCAGTCCTTGAACTTCCGCGAGAGGTGCCGGGCGTCCTCGTCCACGATCTCCCGCCGGATGATGTGCTGGAAGATCTGCCGGAGGCAGGACCGCTCGCCCCTGGGCAGACCCGCACCCAGCCCCTGCCGGCTTGGGGCACCCCGCTCCCCTCCCACCCCCTCCCCAGGCAGCTCCCCTTCCACCACTGCACACCCCAACCCACCCCCTGCACACCGGGGAGGGGCGACACGGGGTGCTCC